AGTTCAACTTAAACATCATTAGTTCAACTTTATTATTTTCTTTGGTCCAACTGTTTTTTATATTCTTTTTTATTTCTGCATTTTTTCCTACTTGCTTTGATTCTGTTTTATTTTCCTATATTTTAATCCTGTAAAGGACTTTGCTTTGTCTTTGTACTGAATTGTGCTATACAAATAAATTTGCCTTTTGCATTTAGAAGTGTGATTTTTCTATTTTATTTTTAAAGTATAGTTTTCCTTTGAACTGTTTCTTTGAGTCTTTTTTTTATGGAACTATAGTATGGATAGTTGTAGATATTTTATTTACCTGCCATGATGGAAGGAAACTCACCTATTTTAATAAAAGTGTTTCTTATACATTTTCTGGGTGGATGTTTTCCATCCATGTAATCAATTCTACATTGATGAACCAAGCAGAAATAAAAACTTATGGATTGTAAAAGTTTCCTCTTTTATTTGGTTTCATTACAAAGAATAATTTCCATGTTTTTCTGATATTTTCTGACACCCTGAAACACTAATATACATTTCCTTAATGGTATTTATTGTTGTGTTCCCCCCCCCATGTTAGACAGGGGTAACTGTATCTGATGGGCCTATAAACCCTGTCATATAGTGTTCCCCCTGTCTAATATGGGGGGAACGGTATCTGATTGGCTGGGATTATCCTCAGGATAGATTACCTCTACTCTTGTGTGAGGTTTTTTAAGGTATCTCTCTCTCTCTCTCTCTCTCTCTCTCTCTCTCTCTCTCTCTCTTTCTACTACAATAAAACAGTTCATAAACAACTTAATGAATGCTATGTTTATGATGTTTAAAATTGATATAAAGGAGGCAGAACTGAAATTCTCATTGAAACCACCGGAAACAAAACAGTCATTTGGACAAATTGAAACTATAACTTCATCATCCAAATAAAGTGTGTAAATTAAGCATGCAAGTGTAATTAAGGTGTAATCTGGACAAAAATGGCCTCAAGGATGCGCTCGATAGGTGAGGAGCAGCAGAGCTGGTTGGAGGAACACAGGAGGGGAGATCTTGATGACCTGGGGTGTGTGAAGGATTAGGGAACCAAATATCTGATCTAGTGCTTACTCCTTGTCAACTTGTAAAACTTAGATTAGTTGGAAATTGTATTTTTGAATATCAGCAAGCTATACTGTATTTGGTGTGACAATTTAATTCAGGATTCTGACTAAGCTTTGTTAGACTAACTTACAGTCTGTAAAATTAGGTTATAATACAAACAGTAGTACTGAGGCATTTAAAGAAAGAAACGAAGATAATAAAACAGTACATACAGACAAAAAAAATGAAGCATAGCGTCACATAATACTGTTTATTCCCTGGAAAATGGTATAGTTTCATGCTCACTTTGCATTCTTGGAAATCTAATATGTTTAGACCGGCCACTGATGATTCAAATCACAAAAAAGTGGTAGACAGACATTTAAAAATTGACTTCTAATCTCATGAATTTTGGTTTTCACTGCCATCTGCTGTCATATGAGAGTAAGTACAACTTGACGACCAAAAGCTTTTTCATATTTCTTTTGTCATTTTAAACATAACACTAACAAAGCACAAGCCAAGTAGTAGAACTAAATGTTGAAAAGAAATTAAAAGCTAAATAAAATAAACCAGGTTACTTAATAAAGCTGCATTTTTTGTATGCTTTGTATTTATATTTACATGATAATATTTTCAGAATTAATAATAACATTTCTGTTAAAGATTTCATTCATCTT